AAAGACTACTCCGGAATCCTGCTCGGCTCTTTGCTACGTATAAGTACAAGCTGTATTTATACCAGAGAAGTTAACATGATAACCTTAGTATTAATTTAGTAATTAATTCTTTCAAATCGATAAGACAGAGGAGGAGTTTCCTGTTGTTCATTGATATGGAAATCATTGTTCTTTTTTTCCTCATTTTTTTAGACACTCTGATCCGATTTGCGGTTCATCAAATGTTTAAGTAGTTTTTATCCAAACCTTAATAAGCTTTGTGCATTTTCTTTAATTAATGGAGTCTAACACTGTTTTCGATGGTAAACAATTTCTCAATCAACATAAGAAAGTGTGAAAAAATCTCAGCGAATAGCAAGCAAATGAAATGTTAAACACATTAGAAAGTTTGATTTGTCTAAATTACATTGACGAGTGTTGAAAATATGACTGAGATGGGTTTGATAAAAAAAAGAAAATCGCATAATAGTTACCAGATGAGAAAGTCTGATGTGGACTATCCGAAACGATACCACCTTCCTGGGAACGAAAGCAACGTTAAAAACAGGAAAATGAACCGGGATTATGCTCACATAAAGTATAAACGATCATCAGATGGGTATTTACATAACGTGCTTTCTCGAATTTCCCGGAACACGTAAAATGAAGCGGTTATTGTGATTTCGATTGTTAAGAAAACGATCGAGTAAAGGTCAATACGTGGTCGATATCCGGCCAAATTATTGCAAGACAAACTAAACATACTATGAAATCAAGGTCAGCGTACGCGCTCACTCTAACGACATACATTGAAAATACATCAAAATAACTCTCTCGTTTTTAAATGAGAACCTCTAGCAGGACATTTCGCCGTTTTGCACGTTGTTTTTCCTTCGGAATTTCAAAATATTCCGGAAGTCGTAAAAACTGAGACATTTAAGGCGTCCTCCTGTTCCGTGCAGCTTATCGGGCTGAAAACCAGAGGAGTCTTAAATCATTTCCACAGCAAGTCGCTGACCTTGCAATAAAAAAACTGGCATCTGAACGATGTTTCAGCAGGATGAAAACGTGTGCAAACGCACGAACCTCACAAGTTAGTTCCGAGTAGAAAGTTACGACGCAGAAATCGTTTTGCCGCTCGAGTTGGCAGACATTACTTTTCTGGCGAAGAGAAACAACATGACCGGAAAAACGTCTGCGTTCGCAGGCAATGGCTTAGAGTGTTTATCAGCAATAATGATATCACAGTGAGATTAGAACAAAATGTTGAACTTGATAATCAAGTTTGCAAAATCTGTCTAGACGGACGTCTTCGGGATCAAGCTAACAGGCAAGGCTAAATCACGATTCCACCGTAGGTGAGCGGTTAGAAGCTTACATACTTTGAAAACCGTTGCCGAAAATATCTGGGATGAGTGTAGGCGAAGGCTGTACACTGACAAAATTATTTGTTTGCAAGTTTAAAAGGATACACGGAGTTTTGTTGACGGAAATATCTAAATTGTATGCTTCTCTATCAATTGGCGCAACAAAATAGATTTAAGGGTTGCGCAACCCTTCCACTCCACCCCCGCAAAAAAAAAAAAAGTTTGAGCTTGGGTTGGCATGATATGCGAAGGAACAGCTGCAGAGACTTCAAAAGAATCACGACAATCATCATGTCATAAGTCAGTAGTCAAGAACGCTGGCGGTGGGGGTCAGGAGAATGTTCACTTTGGTAACGGTCATGGGAGAAAATCGTCATTTATCGTTTGAAAAAACCTTTTATTAAAACAACAGGCGACCAGCAAACTGTAATTAAATTTGAACACAGTAGGAAACAAAAGCATAAAAGCTCAATCTCTCCACTATAAAATTCTAGATACTAAGTTTTATACTCGGAGAGAAAATATCACGCGAGTGATTGATATTTTCTTTATCTCGTAGGGATGAATTCAGTTACAAGCGAAGTCACCTCGAGAAGTCAGGAAGCAAAGAAACTAAACAGGAAAAGCAAAGAAACTAAGCTTTTCTGATTATTTATAGCTAGGTGTTCAAAATTATCCGATTACCTAGTTTTCGCTGTATCTTTAGGGAAAAAAAAATGACTATCAAGTTTGTTTGAAGGCTAAATGCCATCTCGGCAAAATAACCAATTTTAAGACTTTCAAGGCATCATGATTTTCGTAAACCTTTCAATACATAGCTACTGGCCAAATATTCAAAGACGGCCCTGCAACACTTCTAAGAGTGATTCTGTGTTTTCCTCTGTTTCTACGGTTGGTGTTGTTGGTCTGTCAATCTTCTCACAAATGTATTCGCAACATTTTATAATTCGTCTGGTGTCGTGTACATTCCAACAGCGTGGACGTTCGACTTTTTTCTGTTTTTTTCTTTGTGCGGGTGGAGCATAAGGCGGATAGCGCCGTTGCAAGCGATGATGACCGTAACGACCGTAACGACCGTAATAACCAAGAAAACCGAAGAATCCCGCCCACGAACGCCGTTCGCGTTTCTTCGCCTCGCGACATTTCTCAATCTGGAAACACCCTAAGGTTTCTCTGCATTTCATTTTGGACTTGGCACATACTTGAAGGGAGGTATTCAGGTCCATTCCCCCGCGGCACAGTTTTGTATCATTTACAGCACTCACAGACTGACGTTTTACCCTATCTGGCGATGTTCCGCCTGAAGGAGAAGAAGAAAAAAAAATACGTATTTGACATAGAAGATATAATCTGTCAAGTTAACCCATCATTATTTATGCGAAATTACCTTTTCAATTTTCAATTGATTGTCGAAGAAATTCAAAATGGTGAGACACAACGTTGTTTTGTTTATGTTTTTGTTTGTTTGGTTTTTTTTATTGACTTGTTGGAGTAACTTGAAAATCAGTTTTTTTTCAGCACTTTTCAAGCCTTTAATTAAGGTTTCTTTGAAAAAAAAAAACATTCTTGTGCGCTTTAGAATTATGGAACCAGGACTGACTTATTTCTGGGAATATTATAAACCTTTAAACTCCAAGATCTCATGGGTAATTCTCTTTCCTGTGTACCATAAAATTCTTTTGATGTTAGTTTGGAGAATTTGATATTGGATCAACTAATAATTCCCTGATTGATATTTTTCTTGATTCTCATTACTTGTCTACTTGGTATTGTTTTTGACTTTTTAAAGAGAAATTCCGTCTTGATCACTTATGGGAGTTTAAAGGTTTAAGACTCATTGATGTCTCACTTTCAGTTTTTTCTTCGGTATCGTGTTCCCATTCCTCAGTCACGTGGTATATCGTGTACTGAGCGCAAAAGCCGTTCACTTCTTCACCAAGCCACGATCGATCAGTAACTTCTCCATCCAAAACCCACCTGCTGTACACGCGTCTTGTCTCTGTAATATTCATCTGATTGAATACATAGACAACGATTCACTTAGACGTAAATTGATAAATATTTCACTACGAAACGGTATATTTCATTTTCTATTTCAAATCAATGCGCAGAATGCATGGATTCTCGGCCAGCCTGTGTCTCTGATGTAGACGGAGCTACATTGTCTTGTCTCATAAGATGCATGTTACCTGTTATTCACCTTCCAAAAAATGTCGCTTATTTCTGAGCCCGCGGGCTAAGGAACCAGTCCTTATTTATCACTTAGGGGAGAGTGTGAGGGGAAGAGGGAACGGAGTGAGGATCAGTCGTCTTTTAAGGGACAAGGGAGAAATCTTGGAAAGAAAAGGGATCGAGCGCTTAATTCTGAGATCTTCAGGGCCAATTTTTGCCCCTAAGTGATGAGGGAAATTCTTGATAAGTTTTTTTCCTATTTGGAAAATGACGTGTTCTTTCTCACCTTCTGGGCCGTCATGTGATCTCTCATTAGCTTCTCTGGCCTCGACTGCCGTTTTACGAGAGGAAACAGGTAACAGATCTTGCTTTCCGGAAAGCGTAACATTGTCAAATCCTAACAGAATAAACAGAAATGATAACCACAGAAAAATGAGTGAGGAAATAAGGAAGAGGATTGATGGTTGGAAAATGGTGGAGGAGTGTGATTCAGGTTTGGAAAACAGCATACGTGTTAGGGCTGAAACAGGAAAATGTCATGATTGATGGAAATATGAGACAAAAACGTAATATTGTGGAAGAATGTGACTTTCACGTAATTGTATTTTCTTGAAGTTATTTCGACTCAATCGCTCAACCTCCATCAATCTGTGAGAGACCACATGTGCCATGTTCGAACAAAGCGCCATGCTACAGTAATTTTATTTCTAACTGCGACTTCGCTATTTTACTTGTGCCAACTATGACTTCCTTTCTGCGTCGATCATTTGCGCTATGAATCTGCAAATGACTTCTTTAAAAAATCTCCCCCTTTTAATGTGATAAAGTGAAGGATTAGATATCAATACGTAAGTGGGATTACTTACGTTTTTGAAATCATGTAGCACATCACTGCGATCTACGCCAGGATGAGTAGGTACTTGAAACAATTCCGTTTGTTTTTCAAGGTCCACCTCGATCTTTTCAGTGTAGCCAGTTCCACCCTCGCTGATGTCGATATCAAAATCCACGACCTTTTTGGATTAAAATAGCAATTCAGTCTTGCAAGTCTTTGAAATTACTGGGTGAAACGACAGAGTTGACAGCTAAGAATTCGGTTAAAGGTTTAACAATTAACTCATCTCAAAAACGTACTTGTTTCTTCATCCGTCGTCCATCATTAGTAGGGCTAGCAGATGATAAACTTAGGATAACGAGTACGATCAGGAAAGAAAATAAACACGCCATATTTGAACAGGAGATGCAGAAGTTCCTGTTAGGAGAAAGAAAGCGGCATTTGGTCAGAGGTCAAATAAACACGCAATATCTGAACAAAAGATGCAGACTATCCTGTTAGGAGAAAATAAATGCGCCATTCAGTCAATGAATAAGACTCGATAAGGCTTAAGAAACATTTTCTTGTTTAATTTCAGCATTATCACTTCTACAAGTAATCTTAGAATAAATTATCCGCAAAGTATTGACACACTGTTATACAGAAAGGTCTCGATAATAAAGTAGTTACATCAACCTAGAGTGCATGAGTTGTTTAGATATAAAACCGAATTGTCATGACTAATTATCAAAGGCAGAAAGCCTTTTTTTCGAATCTGGGAAGTTTTGGTGAAAAATCTTTTAAGAAAAAGAGTAAACCATTTATATCTCAAGAGTTCTTACTCAGAGCTTGCCAAGTTTGTTTGAAAAAGTCACGATTTTTGAGCTGGTCGACTTCAAACACTTTTAAAGGAACATAAAAAGCAGATGAAAGAGCTGAGAATCAATTGAGTTTCCAAATTGGGAGGATAATAACATTCTGAGGCTAAAATTACATAAAACATTGAAAAATTTCTCTCCGTGATATCGCATGAAACTTAACTTCAAATACGAATTCAAATTTGCAGATGAGTTGCACAATATATCAGTGAAAATGAAAACTTACCTCTCAACATCGAAACTTTTGTTCGCTCGACGAACAGGATGGTTGGAGAGTGAAGTTCAGTTTATACTGCAAAGCTTTTTGTAGATCCGTCACATGGTTCACCGCTTCCGTTTGCGGTTTAAATAAAAAATGAAAAAACAAAATTGATATCCTAAGAAAGGAGGAGCCATGATGAAAAACGCATGTCTAGATCTGTGACATCCTGTTGTTGTTCAGTTATAACGAGGTCAGAATATTAAGCAATTGTGATTTAAATGTAATGAATACAGTAGTTACTAAGTTTCATCCCTTTAAATTTAAGCACGTTTCATGTGATGGAGAGGAACGCATCTTTTCAATTATTTGAAAAGCTCAGGCCTATGACATCATTATACTGTTCAATCGCATGCGTTTCCCAGTAGTCTGCTTCCTGTATTTGTTGCTGTTTTCTCAGAAAATTTTGGTTCACATCAAGGGACCTTCTAAAAAAAGAACAAATGTCATTATCTTCTTAATTTCAGGGCGTAACAAGTGAATTATGCTCTCTTGGCAACTGAATCATGTACGTTGTCTGAAGGTCGCGGGAGGTCACAATATAAAAACATGTGGAGTTGCGTATCACAGCAAAACCTTTCTTTTCCGTTCCTTTTTTAAGTATAACTACTGGTTAACTCGAAGTTAAGTCATTACCTAGAAACAGATTTCTTAGTGCTAGCTCAAATTCTCTGGTATCCCCTGAATATGATATGGTTCCATTGTGTCTGCAGAAGTCGAACAAAAATCTTCTTGTCGTCATGTTTCTATTTTCACATTTATATATACATATATATGTACTTTAAAAAAAGTTGTCATAAAGGGGTAATTTTATAAACCGTTAAAAAACACTTAGATCGGCTCTCTTGAAAATACTTCTCTCCTTAGACGTAGACGTTTACTGTTCTACTGTATACCCAAACAGGATTACTTCATACTCTTTCTTTACAGCAGCATGCGCTGCATTTTCAACACAGCCGGTTAATGAAAGAGAAATCTCAGTGTCCTTGCCCCTCCCAGTGGTAATTCCATCCCTTGATAAGTAGGCTTTATCTCGTCTCATGATATAATCTGAAAGATGTTAACAAGTTATTTAAGTATACTCTGACGAATTGATGCGGAAAACGAAATTGAAGAGTCTCTTCTGAGTTTATCGAGTTAACTGAAAACAGTGTTTAACAACTTCGTATACCAAATAACCGAGAAGAAATAAAAGATCTCGCAAATTTTTCTCAGGGTAGAAGATGATTTTATAAATTTTGATAGAATTTGATATCTTTATCATAAATAATTCTTCAGCTTTGATTTTTAGGGGGTGATTTGCGAGGCGAGATTTTTAGTGGTAGGAGTTTAAAAAAACGTTCTGATAAATGGTTGAAGCGGTAAGTCTCATGGCCCAAGGCTTTTGGCAACTGCAAGTTATATCAACAGCTTCCTATACGTTGGCAAAGGATGTTTGACATCTGAGAAAGAGTCATTGTTTGGCAAGGCAATACTGTCCGATTTTGGACCAAAGTGTCTGATTTTAAACAGAAGAGTCTGATTTGGACACAAGAGTCTGATTTTGGATACGTGTGTCCGATTTTGGACAGTAGTGTCCGTTTTAAGACACAAGTGTCTGATTTTGGACACAAATGTCCGATTTTTGACAATAGTGTCCAATTTTGGACTTAACGTTCAAAATCGGACATTTGAGTTTAAAATTGGACATGCAGTACTGTCCGAATACCGACACTAACATTCAAAATTAGTCACTTGTGTTTAAAAACGGACACTCGGGTCCAATTCAGACAATTGTGTCTAATA